CTTCAAACGATAGACTGAACCGGAAATAAGGGTCTGTCCTACTTACCACGAGTAATGACCTTCAAAGATAGACTGAACCGGAAGACTAGATCTGTCCTACTACTAGAGTAATGCCTTCAAAGATAGCTGAAACCGGAAATAAGGGTCTGTCCTTACTACCAGAGTAATGCCTTCAAAGATAGCTGAAACCGGAAAATAAGGGTCTGTCCTTACTACCAGAGTAATGCCTTCAAAGATAGCTGAAACCGGAAAATAAGGGTCTGTCCTTACTACCAGAGTAATGCCTTCAAAGATAGCTAAAACCGAAAGATAGATTCTGTATTTATTACTAAAATGATCCCTTGAAAAATTGCTAAAACCGGAAATTGTTTTAATGATTGTCACTGCAGCTATTGAGTCTGAGACTTGTTGGCTATTTCCTTTTCTTCAATTTTTTCAAACATCAACGGTCTTAACTATCAGTTAACCAGCCAATTTCAACATTATTTATGCAAAATTTAATAATTTCTTCGCCTTATCACTATTTCCTTTCATATTTTCTACAGAAAATATGGTTTCGTGCCTACCAATTTCAACTCTGAAACTGACGAAAGCAGATATTCGGAACAAACTGTCTTAGTAGCGCAGTTCATGGTATTGGCATCTTAAAATCTATATCACAATACACAATGTGAAAACAAAACAAATATGATATTAAATACAGATATTTCTGGGAACCATATGATTTTATGCTCCCCATATTTAGTTGGTAGAAGGCTAAACTAACTACAGATAATAAATTAGAGTTTACCTGTTTCCTGTGGAGCATAAATGTTAGGTCGTAATGAATTTGTTGGCGAAGTAAAAGTTGAAGGCTAACCATCATATATTACACTATATTTTACTCACTTTTTCACGCTACCTTGTTAGCATTAACCATTAAGTAATGCATTGATACGTACAGAAACACAGTTCAGAATAACAGTTATATTTAGTCTTTCTGAGAATGAAATAGCTACCATTCAAACTCACTTTATTTTCTCTGAAACTACAATTATAACTAGTAGAAACAATGTCAAACTAATTCCCTAACGGCGGGATTAATAATCAACTGTATTCTACTTATAACTATATTTAACTTAATTATAGTATTTTGGCACTTGTGTATAAGTAAAAATCATTAATATTCAACGTTAAACTGTTACACAATTAAAAACATTTTATTTAGGCCTATCTATGGCTTTCAAAAAGTTGACGACTCTACATGTTTCGACGTTATAACGTCATCCTCAGGGGTGAATTACAAGACAATTGTCAAAGTATTTATAGCTTATTAGTAGGTCATTAACGATTCACGAATATTATTACCTATTACACTTTTAGGTTGAGCTAATATTACAGTTTTTTCCTATAATATTGTGTGTTATGTTTCCCGTACATGTTCTTATGCCCTCACACCAAGAATCATGTCATACTAAGTCACAAAAATGTCTGCGTTTTATAGTTATGTCAACAGAGGTTTTAACCGAGATCTTATAGATAGAGCAATTAAGAAATTCACTAATACTATAATAATTGATCAAGTTAGTACTTTAAAACCTAGTTGTGAAAAAATTAGAAAGGAAGGCTTAATCCTACCATATGTTCCAGGTTTACCTACTAGTTTATTTAAGGTATCCAAAAAACAACAGATATTCTTCCCTATATTTAAACCGATAAATAAGATGAATCAAATCTTGGGTACTACGAAAGACGAAATACATTTAACTGTAAAAACTGGAATAGATAAAATAGAATATGAATGTGGAAGTATTGAGATTGGTCAGACAAAACGTAATTTGAAATACCGCTTAAATTAGCATATGTAAAAAAATAAAAAAACTGAAAATTCATCTATAGCAGAACATGTACAGGAAACACAACACACAATATTATGGAAAAAAAAACTGTAATATTAGCTTAACCTAAAAGTGTAATAAGTAATAATATTCGTTAATTATTAGAAATAATAAAACACAAAAAATATCATGTAGTATTAAATAGAGGCGAATGTATGGCGAATATTTCTGCAAGAATGTGGATTGATCTCATTTGAATGGTTTAGCGTGAATGTATGAAAAATAGCATACAGGTCACATGACCTACTAACCAGTTATAAATACTTTAGCATAGTCTTGTAATTTACTCCTGAGGATGTCGATGTAACGTCGAAACATGTAGAGTCGTCAACTTTTTGAAGGCC